ATGAAAACCTCAGAAACGGAGTCCTTCATGCCCTGCCCCCTCCAGTGACAGAAACCCAGCATTCCCAATGCTACATCATGGCTGTGAGATGACACCACCAAAGTGCAGCAGAGCAGTGGTGATGGGAGCTAAATCTCAGGGAAGAGCTGACAGGAGGAGAGAACAGTCCTGAGATGCTGCAGAAACAAGCATGAAACTTGACAGCTCACAGACGCTTCCAAGGGAGCCTTACTGCAGGCCTTTTACTAAAATGTGGTAAGAGTTGGAGACCAGTAGCTTATACATCACAGATCCTGATAAAAAACTGTGAGAGAAGATGTCATCACTTTTGCAAACTGTTGTCAAAAGCTGGGGCTATGCATATATTAAAGAGAGAGAGAGAGAGGAGAGGAAAAAAAGAAATCCCCATCACATTTGAGATCTTTGGAGCAGCTCAGCTACAATAACATGAAGCAACAGCTGTCAAAACAGCAGTCGGAGGGGTTGTCTTTGTGGTTAGATGAGCTGGTTCCACCAAGACAACCTATCCCAGAAAGCTTCAGAAGGGAAGAATGTGAGAAGCTAAGGTATCTATCCTGCCTGAGCATCACTGACTTCTCCAGGAGATGAGATTTAATTTCCACACGCAGGTTGTTGAGCCGTTGTGGAAAGTGGTGGACTCTCTCCCTAAGAAGGAAGAGGAGGAAAATAATTAAATCTGGCATTGCTGCAGAGGAACTTGGGGACGTTGAGGCTGACTGTACAATGGCAGCTGACCACTCTCAGCAGCAACTTGGAAAACAAACTTAAAACCATGCTACAGCCAGGGCCCAGACCCACAGTCACAGCATGAGGCTTCAAAAAATTGAAAATACCCCTTGCCCTACAGCCCCTCATCTGTGACACTCAGGAGGACAGGGTTGGCTCCTGTCACCCCCTTGTCCATAACCCAGCCCCTGGGACTGCCTTCCCTTCAAGATCCTGGAGTGGAAATCCCATCTGGGTGTCAAGTTCTGCCCTACTGGTGCCTGGGGACACAATTTGGACTGGAGATGTTTCTCTTCATTTAGTGACAGGCACAGTGCTAAAGTGTGAATCTCCCTGTTGTCCGTGGGGCTCATGACACAGTCCATTTTTAACTTTTAAGAATATTTTGGTAAAAATAAAAAATAAAGTAAAAACAAAACCAAAAAAAAAAAACACCCAACAAAAAAAAAAAAGGGGAAGAAAAAAGAGCAGAACCAAAGCATGTTTTTCTCCATTACCATAAAGAGGGCTTGTGAATGCATGGTATTAGTATCCCAAAAGCTATTAAACTCCTTAGTGATGGGAAACAGATGGAAAATAAGACAAAAGAATTCACAACTCATGTTAGACTGAATTGAATTCCTTTAATTTCACACAATGAATAACATATGAATAGGATTAACTTTTTTTTTTCTTTTTTTTTTTTGTTAAGTGCTCTATACTGTGCTAACCTGATTTGGTAGCGAAAAGACTGAGCTTTGTTTTAGAAAAAAATGTTTAAAAACCAACATCTAAGATCATGAAGGAGCATGACATTAAAGCATGCCAGATGTATCTAAGCCTCAAAGAACATCAAGTCCATATCCATTTTTAAATGTACAAAAATGCTTCATGAATAAAAACTGTTACAAAAAGAACATTTCAAACAATGTACAAGTTTTTTTCTTGCCTCTATATTCAATAAAATACAAATACATTTTTTTGCTCTAAAATATGTTTACATACAATCAAAGTAGAACATGCAAATTACACTTTAAAAAAGGCTTTTAAAAACCACTTATGAATACAAACTAAAAATTAGCCAGCACGACTTATAGAACAATCTTGTGCCCCATTTGTTTGATTTTTTAATTTTTGAAATACAGTATATACATATTTAACACTTCATGTGCATTTATTATTTAAGAAATAGCTTAAAAAAATAAAGAAAAAGAAAAGTAAAACAAATCAACATGGGATTGAACTGCTTCCCATGTTGTCCAATTGGCAGCTCTTTTCATGTTTTTATATTTTTTTCTTTTTCTTTTTTTTTCTATGTAGTGTTTTGTACAACCTAGGCAGGCATCTTAAGGAGATCTCCAATATGTGTCTTTTGTTGAAATGTGCTTCTAATTATCTTAGAACTGCTGCACCCCAGTTTTTGGATAATATAGAAGGAAGAGGCATTACAAGGGCAAGATGTTTGTTTTCGCAATTCAGAAAACCATCTTGGTTTTGATTTTTTTTTTTTCCTTTTTCCTGTCTTTTTTCTGTTGTTCTTTTTACTCTTCAGGATGCTCCTTAAATGGGCTTAAGCGCAGTCCTGAATGAGGGCCTGCGAAAATAAGAGCTGGGAAAATCCTTGTGTATGGAACAGCTGGAACAGCAATTTCTGTTCATTCGGTGTATTACCGTAGCACTCAGAAGCCCTAGTGATGCACCAGTACCTCACTGCACCAGATGCTACCCAAAAAATCACAAGGAGAATATTCTACATGAATGGTCCAAACCATTGCTGACAAATGGAGAGTCATGGGCCACGCTGTAGGATACTCGAGTAGCTGATAACTATTTTCACTTTCTTTTTTTAAAATTTATTTTTTTAATGTTTTTTTCTCTTTATTTATTTGACAGTTATCCAAAAACATACAAGGTGCTTCACCAGTAAAATTTGATATTGAAGGGCTCAAGAAACTGGCAGCATGAAGGTCTTGGAGACACAAGTGGTCATGTTTGTTTTTTTTTCCCTCTCTCCCCGCACACTTATCCCCATTACTGGTTTAACACTTGGTTGAGGAATAAAAGACCCACAGAGAAGATGCAAACCCGTGGCCTCACTTCATATGGCTCAAAGCCACGTGATTTTGTTTTGTGTTTTTCTTGAAGCATGCTCAGATGTGTGCTAGTCTGTGACACAGAAGAGGTGTTTTAAAGGTCTTTTTGGTCTTAGTAAGCAAAAGGGTTTTCACCCAAGTTTTATACAGTTCTTGGAAATGTGTGGAGAGAATTTAGAGAGTTCCTCAGTAAATCTTCCTAGTGGTAGGGAAAAAAAAAAAATCAAAAAGCTCATTACTGGAATATTGTTGGGTAATAAACTGCAGGAGTGGGATTTTAGCCTTAAGCCCTAAAACTAAATCCTTTATGATCTGCATGTAGTACATCGCCTTATAATATTATTCTGTCAGCAACTTGCTTATCATCTTTATAGACTATGCAACATGCAGAACACAAATTCTGAGTGCCATCTAACAGTATTTTCAGTCTGCTTTGTATGACATTAACAAGCTAATTTTCCTGTCAGCCACAGGACTGGCTGCGCGAAGGTGTTTTGTGGACAAACAGTCAAGGCTGTACTGCAGCACAACACTCTACAGGCACCTTCTTGCCATGACAAACCAACCTTGGGTGCCTGGACAGAGCCCATTCCACGCTGACAGCTTGCAGTTACCAGGTCTTGAACTCTACCCTTAGTTTCTCTAGGACAAAAAGGACTTCTTCATGTTTTTCCTCAATGAAGGGTCTATGGGGCTGCACTCTCCGAGTGGATGCTCTCCTTAAACACTGTGTCTCTAGCAGCATTTTGGATAACACTTTTTGGAAAGATAAGAGCATTTTTTTTTTCCCAAAGCTCAGGAGCATGGGAGGCAGCAGCCACTCAATCATCCTTCCCTGAGGGGGTTGTATCCCAGAGCATCCAAAAAGGTCCAGCCCAAATCCAGCACTTGTTGGCACTCTGACCCCTCTTGAAGCCACAATGGGTGTTCAGTGACAGAATCTGTTCCCTTCAAGCCTTTTTTCCACTCACCACACATTGAAATGTCCTTCAGTGCTAATAAAAATATCACTGGAGATAAAACTAAGGATAAGTTGTTTGGCTTAGTTTCAGCTACCTGGAATACCAAACTTATGTTTTTTTCTATCATTTTAAGTGACACTGTACCTACTTTGAGGATCTAATGAGATTGGAAAAAAAAAAAGATTTCTAAATTAACTAAACCTCAATCTGATGCTTTTCAAGGAAGAAGTGAGGAGCTCAATGAGGTTTAAGCATTTTTTTTCCTGCAGGTCTACAGCTTCAGTCAGTAACACTGTGCTAATTCAAGAGAGCTGAAAAGCAAAATTGTTTGTAACAGAACGAGCAACCATCCAATTTATTTCTAAGCTGCATTAATTGGAAAAAAAAAGCAAAAATGCGTATGATGCACGATGCAAAACAAAAATTGGAACCAAAATTCTGCGATCCCTCTTATCAGTTTTAAGGAGTTAGGATCTCAAGATTTGTTCCAGTCTTAAAAAAAAAAATAAAAATACATCCCCTGTTCCAGCTCCCCGACGCAATCCTATCCCCAAATGTATTCAGTTTTAATAAGCTAAGGTGCTATCACAGAAGAAAAATCAGTCTCTAAAAAATAACGAGTTGTATGTTTACAGTGTTCCTCTAACACCATAGTCTTGATATGATTTTTGTAAATAAATAACAGAATAGAAACACAATATTTTTTGTGGGGACTTTTTTTGTTGGGTTTGTTGTATTTTTTTTCTTTCTTTTTTTTTCTTTTGTATTTTTTTT